TACCCAAGACGCGGAAGCGGTTTATCGTCTTTCCAAGGACGCGGATGCAGTTTATCGTTATAGCCAGGACACGGATGTAGTTTATCGTTTTAACCAGGACGCAGATGCAGTTTATCGTCTTACCCAAGACGCGGAAGCGGTTTATCGTCTTTCCAAGGACGCGGATGCAGTTTATCGTTATAGCCAGGACACGGATGTAGTTTATCGTTTTACCCAGGACGCAGATGCAGTTTATCGTCTTTCCCAGGACGCGGATGCAGTTTATCGTCTTACCCAGGACGCGGATGTTGTTTATCGTCTTACCCAGGACGAGGATGCAGTTTATCGGTTTACCAAGGACGGTATTTATTAAGAGATGTTTTTGTTATGTTTCACTTGCTTTCTCAAAAATCTATTACTGTTAATATTTTTTCCTCAAAAACCTATGGCTGGTAATATTATTTTTTCAAAAACGTATGGCAACATTATTTTTTCAAAAACGTTATCAGAGGCATTGCTGTTGGACGTAGTTGATCGTCATGCCCAGGACGCGGATATGGCTTGAGTGTTAACTATTGGCCATTGTGGAGGCTCTAACAGGTGCTACCACGTGGGAACACCAGCAATTAAGAAGTGGTTCCATTCTCCTCCAAATCTCCTGATCAGAGGGCTTGCTGTTGGACGTAGTTTATCATCTTACCCAGGAAGGTGATGCAGTTTATCGTCTTACCCAGGACGCGGATGCAGTTTATTGACATAGCCAGGACACGGATGGAGTTTATCGTCATAGCCAGGACGCGGATGCAGTTTATCGTTTTACCCAGGACGCAGTGCAGTTTATCGTCTTACACAGGACGCGGATACAGTTTATCGTTTTACCAAGTACGCGGATGCAGTTTATCGTCATAGCCAGGACGCGGATGTAGTTTATCGTCTTACCCAGGAAGTGGATGCAGTTTATCGTTTTGCCAAGGACGGTATTTATTAAGAGATGTTTTCGTTATGTTTCACTTGCTTTCTCCAAAATCTATTACTGTTAATATTTTTTCATCAAAAATCTATATCTGTTAATATTTTTTTTTCAAAAACCTATAGCTGGTAATATTATTTTTCCAAAGCGTATAGCTGGCAACATTATTTTTTCAAAAACATTATCAGAGGCATTGCTGTTGGACGTAGTTGATCGTCATACCCAGGACGCAGATATAGCCGGAGGGTTAACTATTTGCACAATGCTGAGGCTTTAACAGGTGCTACCACGTGGGAACACCAGCAATTAAGAGGTGGTTCCATGCTCCTCAAAACCTCCTGATCAGAGGCCTTGCTGTTGGACGTAGTTTATCGTCTTACACAGGAAGGTGATGCAGTTTATCGTCTTACCCAGGACACGGATGTAGTTTATCGGCTTACCCAGAACGGTAATGCAGTTTATCGTCTTACCCAGGACGCGGATGCAGTTTATCGTCTTACCAAGGACGCAGATGCAGTTTATCGTCATAGCCAGGACACGGATGTAGTTTATCGTTTTACCCAGGACGCAGATGCAGTTTATCGTCTTACCCAGGACGCGGATACAGTTTATCTTCTCACCAAGGACGCGGATGCAGTTTATCGTCATAGCCAGGACACGGATGTAGTTTATCGTTTTACTCAGGACGCAGATGCAGTTCATCGTCTTACCAGAAACGCGGATGAGGTTTATCGTCATAGCCAGGACACGGATGTAGTTTATCTTTTTACGCAGGACGCAGATGCAGTTTATCGTCTTACCAAGGAAGCGGATGCAGTTTATCGTCATAGCCAGGACACGGATGTAGTTTATCGTCTTACCCAGGACGTGGATGCAGTTTATCGTCTTACCCAGGACGCGGATGCAGTTTATCGTCATAGCCAGGACGCGGATGTAGTTTATCGTCTTACCCAGGACGCGGATGCAGTTTATCGTTTTCCAAGGACGGTATTTATTAAGAGATGTTTTTGTTATGTTTCACTTGCTTTCTCAAAAATCTATTACTGTTAATATATTTTCCTCAAAAACCTATAGCTGGTAATATTATTTTTTCCAAAACGTATAGCTGGCAACATTATTTTTTCAAAAACGTTATCAGAGGCATTGCTGTTGGACGTAGTTTATCGTCATACCCAGGACGCGGATATGGCCTGAGTGTTTATCATGTGGGACACCAGCAATTAAGTGGTGGTTCCATGCTCCTCCAAACCTCCTGATCAGAGGCCTTGCTGTTGGACGTAGTTTATCGTCTTACCCAGGAAGGTGATGCAGTTTATCGTCTTACCCACGACGCGGATGCAGTTTATTGTCATAGCCAGAACACGGATGTAGTTTATCGACTTACCCAGGACGGTGATGCAGTTTATCGTCTTACCCAAGACGCGGATGCAGTTTATCGTTTTACCCAGGACGCGGATACAGTTTATCGTCTTACCCAGGACGCGGATGTAGTTTATCGTCTTACCAAGGACGCGGATGCAGTTTATTGTCATAGTCAGAAAACGGATGTAGTTTATCGTTTTACCCAGGACGCAGATGCAGTTTATCGTCTTACCCAGGATGCAGATGCAGTTTATCGTCTTACCCAGGACGCGGAAGCAGTTTATCGTCTTACCCAGGAGGTGGATTCTGTCTATCGTCTTACCCAGGACGCGGATGCAGTTTATCGTCATAGCCAGGACACGGATGTAGTGTATTGTTTTACCCAGGACGCAGATGCAGTTTATCGTCTTACCCAGGACGTGGATGCAGTTTATCGTCTTACCCAGGACGCGGATGCAGTTTATCGTCTTACCAAGGACGCAGATGCAGTTTATCGTCATAGCCAGGACACGGATGTAGTTTATCGTTTTACCCAGGACGCGGAAGCAGTTTATCGTCTTACACAGGACGCGGATGTAGTTTATCCTCTTACCCAAGACACGGGTGTAGTTTATCGTCTTACCCAGGACAGTATTTATTAAGAGATGTTTTTGTTATTTTTCAGTATATAATAATCTGAATCAATAGGCCTCCGCTGGTCATCAATGACAATGGGTTTGATCTTACGCATTTGTAAGGTAGGATCGAGCCTGGAGAGGATGGTATGGAAAACAAGATGCCCCCCTCTCCACGGCAAGGCCATTACAGTTTGGCTGCTGCCCCACAACGACGCCAAGATCAGCGACGAACTAGCTTAGGTATAAATACAAGAGAAAAGATGCTTATCGTATATATTTAACTCAATTGATCCGACTGGTATTCGAACACAGGTTCGGTTTACACTAGAGTAAATAAATGAGAGCTAAGTCCAGTTTACACACAAAAAAAAGAAACATAGGCCCAGTTTACACTAGATTGAATAAACGAGACCTAGGTCCAGTTTGCCCTAAATAAAAAAGAAACATAAGCCCAGTTTACACTAGAGTGAATAAACGAGACCTAGGTCCAGTTTGCACTAAATAAAAAAGAAACATAGGCCCAGTTTACACTAGATTGAATAAACGAGACCTAGGTCCAGATTGAATAAACGACCCCAGGGTCCAGTTTGCCCTAAAAAAAAAACATAGGCCTAGTTTACACTAGATTGAATAAACGAGACCTAGGTCCAGTTTGCCCTAAATAAAAAAAAAAAAACATAGGCCCAGTTTACACTAGATTGAATAAACGAGACCTAGGTCCAGTTTGCCCTAAAAAAAAAAGAAACATAGGCCCAGTTTACACTAGATTGAATAAACAAGACCTAGATTGCCCTAAAAAAAAAAAGAAACATAGGCCCAGTTTACACTAGATTGAATAAACGAGACCTAGGTCCAGTTTGCCCTAAATAAAAAAGAAACATAGGCCCAGTTTACACTAGATTGAATAAACGAGACCTAGGTCCAGTTTGCCCTAAATAAAAAAGAAACATAGGCCCAGTTTACACTAGATTGAATAAACGAGACCTAGGTCCAGTTTGCCTAAAAAAAAAAGAAACATAGGCCCAGTTTACACTAGATTGAATAAACGAGACCTAGGTCCAGTTTGCCCTAAATAAAAAATAAACATAGGCCCAGTTTACACTAGATTGAATAAACGAGACCTAGGTCCAGTTTGCCCTAAATAAAAAATAAACATAGGCCCAGTTTACACTAGATTGAATAAACGAGACCTAGGTCAGTTTGCCCTAAATAAAAAAAAAAAAAAACATAGGCCCAGTTTACACTAGATTGAATAAACAGAGACCTAGGTCCAGTTTGCCTAAATAAAAAAATAAACATAGGCCCAGTTTACACTAGATTGAATAAACGAGACCTAGGTCCAGTTTGCTCTAAATAAAAAATAAACATAGGCCCAGTTTACACTAGATTGAATAAACGAGACCTAGGTCCAGTTTGCCCTAAATAAAAAAAAAAAATAAACATAGGCCCAGTTTACACTAGATTGAATAAACGAGACCTAGGGACCCCTAAATAAAAAAAAAAAAATATAGGCCCAGTTTACACTAGATTGAATAAAAGACCTAAAAATAAAAAATAAACATAGGCCCAGTTTACACTAGATTGAATAAACGAGACCTAGGTCCAGTTATACACACGTAAACAACTAGATGATAAGAAGTTCTATAAATGTTTAACGAGTCCCTCATATCCCGGGGGGGGGGAGATCGAACATTCAAGGAAATCACGGCTGATGTTAATTTGACGGAAACCACAAGGGCGATAACGAATTATTTTACGTATAAAAAATGTACTAACCTTACACAGTAATCCAGCTCATCTAAATTATAAAATGTTGTTACTACCGTTACTCCGTCCGACTGTCACACATTCTAAAATAGCTAAACATCGATTGATCGGAAACAAATTGATGAACAGACTTAGATAGATAGATAGATAGATAGATAGATAGATAGATAGATAGATAATCTATAGAATTAGATAGATAGATAGATAGATAGATAGATAGATAGATAGATAGATAGATAGATAGATAGATCTCGAAAATTAGATAAATAGATCTCGAAAATTAGATAGATAGATAGATAGATAGTCTATAGAATTAGATAGATAGATAGATAGATAGATAGATAGATCTCGAAAATTGGATAGATAGATAGATAGTCTATAGAATTAGATAGATAGATCTCGAAAATTGGATAGATAGATAGATAGTCTATAGAATTAGATAGATAGATAGATAGATAGATAGATAGATAGATAGATAGATAGATAGATCTCGAAAATTGGATAGATAGATAGATAGATAGATAGATAGATAGATGAATGAGATAATAATCTATAGAATTAGATACATAGATAGATAGATAGATAGATAGATAGATCTCGAAAATTGGATAGATAGATAAATAATCTAGAGAATTAGATAGATAGATAGATAGATAGATAGATCTCGAAAATTAGATAGATAGATAGATAGATAGATAGATAGATAGATCTCGAAAATTGGATAGATAGATAGATAGATAGATAGATAGATAGATAGATAGATAATCTATAGAATTAGATAGATAGATAGATAGATAGATAGATAGATAGATAGATAGATAGATAGATCTCGAAAATTGGATAGATAGATAAATAATCTAGAGAATTAGATAGATAGATAGATAGATCTCGAAAATTAGATAGATAGATAGATAGATAGATAGATAGATAGATAGATAGATAGATCTCGAAAATTGGATAGATAGATAGATAATCTATAGAATTAGATAGATAGATAGATAGATAGATAGATAGATAGATAGATAGATAGACCTCGAGAATTGGATAATTAGATAGATAGATAGATAGATAGATAGATAGATAGATAGATAGATAGATAGATAGATAGATAGATAGATAGAACCAGAATTATTGAATTTCGACTTTGTCTCCTCATGTCTAAATTTCTGAGCATAGGTCTTTCACGTCCAATTTCTCCTGCAGTCAGTCTATTCGTTGTCTTGTAAAAACCTACGCAGCAAACACCTACTTGACGTGCTTATAGCTGAAGTAAATCTCCCTTGATTTATCACCGGGTGACGGATGTACGGCTCAATCAAAAACCTCCACAAAATCCTTTTTCGTATGACAGCTATCCTGGGCCAAACAGTAATAGACGGAAGCTGTCGTCCACGTTGCGCCTCATACGTCCGCTTCTTCCCCGTTAAGTCGACAGCCAAGAGTGTTCGAAACACGAAGAAGCCTATCGAATTGATCTGGACAACTTTCCGTAATCGAGTTGATAGATGAAGGATTTGGTATTCTGCTCTTCAAGGTTAAGTTATCGTTTTGATGCGTGTTACGTCTAACGGCTGTTCTCTGATTGAAAAAAAAGTTAAAGGGAAAGAATGCAGAAAACAAATTTGAAACGCCATCCGGCCCAGTGTATCTGGTGTCTAAATACAGATTTAATCTTTTTATTCGGAAAAATCTCAAATAAACACTGTCACCGCTAGGCTCACTTCGCACTAACGCCCTCGGAAAAAGCAGAAATTCATCTGTTCTTGGCCATGTACCCAAAAAGCAGGACTGACTGGACTCTCGAGTCTTAGAAGACGAAATCTGAATTAAAACCAAATATGGAGAACGCAACAGGAAACTACATTTCTTAATCATTTCACCCTAGGCAAGGCAATAAAGCCACTAAGATACAAGGGCTTACTGAGGATAAAAGAATAAGAAAAAAAAAGAAACATCAAGGAGAGAGAACAATAAAAGAACAGGAATTAAGAAAACGGTAGACAACTATTGATAGTGCATATACATTTTTGAAGATCGAAGAAAGCATGGAGCCGGGGAAAGTTCCACAAGCAAGAAGTGCGATAGAAGAACAGGTTAGCATAGAACTTACAGTTACATCTAGCCAATTCAACTGTAAACTGATGAGACCTAAATGCCAATCTAGTACTGAACTTAAAATCTTGGTACCATAGAGGAAAGTTCATCAAAACAATTGCCATGAAAGTATTTATAGAAAAACTCAAAGAAGCTATGGTATTGGGAAAGAACCTGAAGCTGCGATGCCAGGTCAGTACCAATAATATTGCTGATTCTTTTTTGGATTTTATCAAAAATCTCTAAATATACAGCAGGAGCAGGTGGAACATATGTGACATCAATATTCTAAGCATGGGCGAATGGTAGACTTAGATATGTAAGATAGATTCTGGTGAGAATAATTGTCAAGCACGAAAATGTGAAGTGGCGCGCGTTCTGTGCAGGTCTAAGTTGAAAATAAACAAATTAGATCTCGCAAATTCTGGATGATCGCCAACTAAATTATGAACAGAGGCAAAGCGGCTGTGTCCACTATTATAAATCGTCCCGAGGTCCCGAGATCATATCATCCTCGACAGACAAGGTGAAGCTTTTCGTCTCGATTTTTGCCTCAAACTCAACGTTATATAACAAAGGTCATCCCCTTCCCAACTTCCCATGTTTCAATGAGCACACTCTCAATAATATACTCATTTCACTAGAAGTCTCTAGATTTATTAAAAGCCTCGACCAAAAAGAAAAGTCACGGGCCCAGACAAAATTCCAGTGGTAGTCTTTAAGAATATCAACCCAGAATTATCCCCAAAAGCAAAGTTATTTAACTGCTGATTGAAGGAGAAATCTTTCCCAATAATGCGGAAGGTGACAAGTGTGTATCCGATCTTCAAAAAAGCGGGCAACCAATCCTCCTCCTCCCAGTATAAACCCATTAGTCTCCTAGGTATCATCGGTAAGTTTTTTGAAGCCTTAATCAACAAGGTCATCGAGCACTTGGATAGGAACAACTTCCTGTGCGACGAGCAGTATGGGTTTCAATTAGCCTGATCCACTGCTGATATCCTAACTTCCATTACACACCGAATTCGTGAGGCACTTGACAATACATATGCCGCAAGGAGCGTAGAATTAGATATCGCGAAGGCCTTCGACAAGGTGTTGCACGAAGATATGCTATACAAGGACTCCAACTATGGAATCACTGGAAGATTTTTATCTATTATAAAATCCCCCCTAACAGGTATAAATATGTAAGATAGATTCTGGTTAGAATAATTGTGTAGCATAACAGAGTGAACCAATTTTTTTTAGCGGCAGACCTAGCGATGGATTCAATATAATCTTTCTACTTCATGTCACCCGAGAATATTAAATCGAGAAGGTGACAGGACTTACTCTCGTGGAGGTTAGCATCAGCTATAGTTATGGGATTCTGAAAGGGGTCTTCTAGCGTCCCTGTTCCATTTTCCCCGTGCCTTTTTTTTTACGTTTCACTCAATAAAAGACCAAAGAGCAACTCAAGGTAGATGGTTACTGAGTGACATTGTTGTATGGAAGAATTAAAAAAAAACTATCCATATTATGAGTAAATTATTAACCAGACCTCCCCAATCAGGGAGCCAGTGACATAAGTTTTTTTTTTTTTTTATGTGGGAAGCTGAAAAACGTACATATGAGCTAAAGACAAAAATGTCCCAGTGCCCACGACCACTGTCACGATGGTGTCCGGTAATACACCCACTTCACCTCTCTTAATGCAATGAGGAAGGTGGTGCCGCGGAGTTAGACTCCCTTCCATTAAAAATGAGGAAAACAGATACTGCACTTTGATCACGACTCGAAGTGCACAGTATGAGAATATAGATACGTTGACCATGTTTGCCGCAGTCTCTGAATATGGAATCCAGTGAAGTCCGTAATCTGTTCAATATCAGAGGTCGGCAGTGAAGATTCAGAGAAAGTAGCGGTTGTTAAGTAATTCTTCGATATCAGGTTGGCAGTGCAGACAATTTGGGAAAAAATGGCTGCCTTTATACACGTCGCATTGAATATTTTGAGCTTTCTGATTGGTTAACCCTTCTCTTGGACTATAAAATGAGTCAACTCATTTAGGCTAGCTCACTAGTACACATATCCGAAAAACTGCAACAAAATAGATATCCGTTGACTTGAAGAGGTTCCGATTGTAGTGATCACTGAAGTATCCCCTCGGGAGTCTGTTCTACAATGTAACAGCCATCTGAGTGGAACTACCTCCTTACGAAGGGAAGGCAATATGGATGTTTTACCATCGAGAACATGTCATGAAGATTCCCGGCTGTGAAGTTCTGAATTTCTGGGGGACTAAGGAATGTAACCCGTAAGGACATTTTCTGTAGTAATAGCGATAGAGTATTTGCGGGACATGCAACGTTTCATCTGTAGGATAAGGGTTGCAGGGTGAGGAATAATTAATCACCCACAAGACCGCGTAATCGCTTTTTTAACTCTGTCGAGGCTGGAGTGTAAGCGTGGCACAGCACCAGCAGTGATATGACAGAAATATACTTAGTCTTAGTAATCAACGCTTTTATCCACCGGGCCATGTGTCCTCGAGGATAAAAAAACTTGGAGAGTTGAGTTAAAAGTAGATAACTAAGACATCCGGGAGAGGCATGGCACGTGGAACTAGAACACCTTGCCCCGGCGAACGAAATAAGGGGATCAGTTCGAAATGTCAGTCAGCCGGAGCGTACAAAGACAAAAACGGCGTGAATATGGCAATAAAGATGAGGACAACTGTCCGAACAATGTAAATAATGTAAATAGTTACAATACCTCATCCCAGAAATATAGACAGATCCTGAAGAAGATCGGAGCGTACAACGGCCGAAACGTGAATATGGCAATAAAGATGGGGGCAACAGTCCGAACAATGTAAATAATGTAAATAATAATCTCAGAAATATAGACAGATCCTGAAGACGGCCGGAGCGTACAACGGCCGAAACATCGTGAATATGGCAATAAAGTTGTGGACAACAATCCGAACAATGTAAATAATGTAAATAATAATCTCAGAAATATAGACAGATCCTGAAGACGGCCGGAGCGTACAACGGCCGAAACATCTTGAATATGGCAATAAAGTTGTGGACAACAATCCGAACAATGTAAATAATGTAAATAATAATCTCAGAAATATAGACAGATCCTGAAGACGGCCGGAGCGTACAACGGCTGAAACATCGTGAATATGGCAATAAAGATGAGAACAACAGTCCGAACAATGTAAATAATAATCTCAGAAATATAGACAGATATACTGGTTCCAATAACATTTATTTAATTTTTGATGGGGTGTGCTTCTTTTTTTGCTTTTTTTTTTTTTTTTTTTGATAAGGCATTGTCATCTGAATTTCGGCTGGTTACTGTCTTTTCGTGCGCATGTCGGTGGAATGGTTACAAATGGGGGTAGGGTCAGGCCGTGCATTGGTGACAGTCAGCAACGGGAAATAACTAATTAGATTCAACGCCAAAGATATTTGTGGCAAAGAACCTCAAGGGGTCTTTCGCCCGCGATAAACTGCCACGTTATCTGGGCAACGAATCGCAGGGCAGCCATATGTGAACTTTGGGAGAGATCAGCAGAGTAATTACGATTATTAATTCAAGGAAAAGCTTTCTGAATTAGTTCAAGCTTCAAATTAAAAGTGATAAATATCCTGTTTAAAATTAGTCAATTTCAGATTAAAGATTAATTTCCAATTAGATGTTAATTTTCGAATTTAATATTAGCTGCTTTCAGTCTTCTAATAATTTGCGATTAAACGAAAGAATTAGTAAAAAAATATTTATGATTTAATCAATCTGATTGAACAGAAAGATATAAGCTGATTGAAATAGTATATATATATATATATATATATATATATATATATATATTGATATGAGTTTGTGACCCATTACGATCGTCAGAAAAACTGATTTATTTTTTAAAGTTTTGAATCTATTTGTGTCAGTTTCTGTTTGGTTATGTTCGGTGATGTTTTATGGTAGTAGAAGGAAAAAAATTTACACACACATATATATATATATATATATATATATATATATATATATATATATATATAGCGGTAGACTGAAATAAATAGACATTGGAACATTTGAGAATGTGTGTAAACCAACAAAATAGATTAGTAAATATATAAGAAAGAAAACGAAATAGATAGATAGATAGATAGATAGATAGATAGATAGATAATGAACAGACTGAGATAGATAGATAGATAGATAGATAGATAGATAGATAGATAGATAGATAATGAACAGACTGAGATAGATAGATAGATAGATAGATAGATAGATAGATAGATAGATAGATATGATCAAAGAGAGATACGAACAAACTGAAATAGATAGATAGATAATGAACAGATTGAGATAGATAGATAGATAGATAGATAGATAGATAGATAGATAGATAGATAATGAACAGACTGAGATAGATAGATAGATAATGAACAGACTGAGATAGATTGGTAGAAAGATTGATAGATTTATCGATAGATATCAATAAACTCAGATAGATTGGTCGATAGAGTGATAAATAGGTAGCGAGATCGGAACAAACTGTAATAGATAGATAGATAGATAGATAGATAGATAGATAGATAGATAGATAGCTAGATAGATAGATAGATATGAACAAACTGAGATAGATAGATAGATAGATAGATAGATAGATAGATTTGAACAAAATGCGAAAGATATGTTTATCCACAGATTGATCCCCGCTTGCATGCCTCATTCGTTGGTATACTAAGCCACTCCCTCACCTCATCTTTTTTAAGGTATGTCCTTCACAAGTGTTTGATTGTTCTTAATTATAGAATTCCACCGATAAAACTTTCTTATATGTTCGTTGCATGGGATCAAATTATTTCAATGTTTTAGATATTCAGTAAATTTCCTATGGCCGTAATAACTTTCAAATAGTATGGCATTGTTTACAAATCTAATAATCAAGCAAAAACAGGGATGAAGCGTCAGAACTTGATTCAACTGTAAGTGTAAATACATGAACGCCCCCTCCTTCGCTCGTCTACTGTAAAGCTGCGGTTAATAAAAGGTTCTTCGGGAATTTTCCCCTTTTAATGCTTCAATAATCCTTCTCAAGCAATCTTTCCATCAAAGGTTGTTTGAATGCCAATTTAGGATCGAATCATATGAAGAAACTATTGGCTAAATGACCAAAGCCTATGTTTCGTCCACTTAACTGAAATAATGTAAACCAAACATTAACACAAGACAATTTATGTATCATGTAATTTACATGGCAAATTTGGAAAGCATTGAATGAAAAAATCAGGGAGTTATGGCCGAAAAACAGGCTTTTTGAACAGATTTTTTGTGGTTTTTCGTTATAGGACTAAAACCACACTAACAATTTTTTGCGCCATGTTTAAAGAAAATCGTATAAAAACGAGGAAATTATTCAAGTTTTTATTTTAAGTTGTACAAAAAAACAGATTTTTTCACAGTTTTTTTTCAATCTTTTTGTGAAACCAATGCTAAAGGAAAATTATCAAGCATTCGACATAAATCCCATAACATAAGCTATGTTTTGTATTAAGTACAAAGACCATCCAGTAAAAATTTTGTTCGCGTGTAACTTTGTCTTGGTTTTTGCAAAAAGTCACACCTACCTTCAGTTTTATACATTTTTCTGCTAAAGACGAAGTCTTAGGGGATTGAAAAATTGATCTTGACTTAACATAGTAAATTTGCAATATGTTGATCGAGAAATATGGACGTGTATAAATAGCATACACACAAACACACAAACACACACACATCCTTATTGCCATCGTCTGTTTTATAGATATAGATATCATCAGTCTCAAATAAATAAATAGATAGATAGATAGATAATGAAAAGATGAGATAGATAGATAGATAGATAGATAGATAGATAGATAGATAGATACATACGCAAAACCTTCTTGGTTTTAGAGACATCGTAGAGTTTCTGAGCAGCTTGCGGTTACAGATACATATTAATGGTTTCAGAAAGTTATATTCATAAATTGAACAACCGCTATATATATATATATATATATATATATATATATATATATATATATATCCGTGTATGTGTCAATATCTGTGTGTATAATGTTGCTTTTATGAAGCCTATAATCGCAAAGAACCTAATACAAATTACTCGAGTTGCAGAGTTTGTTTTTTTACGATGCGGCGAAAGTCGGACTCAAATCGTCTGCTTTTACCACAATAACCTTCGGCCGATTTGCCGGCGTCAGATTCTTCCAAATACTATCTTCACCGCCCGTTTAATAAACGATTGGTATCCGTGCTGTGTAAGGCAGTGTATACGTTTATATGTTCGAATGTTTTCGCCTTGACGATATATCCTCAGCATATAACACATTTCATGAAAGGTTGAATCAGTTTTGAAGTTGATAAGAATTTTCTGACCATCAAAGTGCTTCAGAAATAATTTATTAATACATTGTGTGTCACTACAATGAATAAAAGACATTTGTAAAGAAAAGTTAAAAAAAAAACTACCAAAAAGTAGTATATTATTATTATTATTTTTATTTTCTTTAAGTTCTGGCGTTTACACATTTCTTTCCGAGTCCCGCCCAGGGACCAAATGTTAGAAATGGCTTCATGACACTTTCCACTGACAAAAAAAAAAAAAAAAATTACATAGATAAAGCCCTTTGTAAAGTGTGGGCTGTACTTGTCAGAACAATTTTTTGTATCTCCTTGAGGCATGGACTTCCAGGAATCCCTTCAATTAGTCTACTTGAATCTTTTCCAACCAATCCTAGGGCTCCAACTACAACAGGGATTGTTGATGCTCCGATATGCCACATTTTTGAGATTTCTATTTCAAGGTCCTTGTATTTTGACAGCTTTTTGAATTTAAGAATTTTCTGACCATCAAAGTACTTCAGAAATAATTTGTTAATGCATTTTATTAATACATTATTATTATTATTATTATTATTATTATTATTATTATATTTCGATATCTGCTATGGTCACCGTACCTACGAAATCTAAGACATATAGCAATATGTTGTTATGGCTACCTATCATGATTCTGATGGAAGTTATCAAAAGTTGTTTTTTTAAATGATTAAGAATAAGCAGTTTCTTTTTTTGGTGGTGCGTCAGAATTAACAAGCCATGTCTTTCCCCAGATAACAACACACTGTAGGTGATTTTTTCGATCAAAACGCTGTGGTGAATGGATTTATAGATCAAAAAGTATTGTAGCATACTTACGGATGTGAATGGTTATTTCCCCATTCAAATAAATACTGTCAAATGTTGACCTGCAGTTGGTAATTCGATTCCAACTGTGCTGGTCAAACTCTCTGCCTCCGGGAGGATCCCCAGACGAAACAGAATCTCGTCTCGGGAAACAGCTACCCGATCCTGTTTTATACAGGGTCTAGTGGGAAATTTTGGCCGAGCCTACTGGTTCGGATAGCACACATTAAATTGGGACTTGTGCCACATCTGACCTCGTGGAACGGTTGGTAAATATCCTGCAGTTGGAGATTCATTGTGGAATTCACTTGACTCACTTCTAGCAGTTGACTACTACTTCTACGTGCCACTGGCGAATCTTATATGTGTTGTTCTTGTTTTAAGTATTATCGTTCATTACCAACATTCGTTTGAATATTCTATTCAGTAACCTTCCCTAGGTTACAAACAAAACAACCTGTTTGAATGGATGCTGGAATAGGTAACAGAATGCTTGGCAAAGGGAGAAATGATTCTAAAATTCATAGGAGATGATAAGCTCTTGAGAACCAGGATTGCCATTGTTCTGAAAGTGACACGATTCATGGAAGAAGACGAACCATGGAAAGAAAATACTGACCGATGCTCGTAACTAAATGTTTAATTTAATTTTCCAAGTTTTGAATTTTCCTCAGGCCTGAGTTAGGGATAAATTTAGGGTTCACTTGTTGAGTATATTGAGCCAGTGGGTTGGAATAAACAGTTAAAATAAAGAATACGGTGTGAAACTAGTAATAAAATTAAATAATAATGATGAATGTTTCTGGTCAGAGGATTGGGATGACAGCAATAAGAAGTTGGGCAAACTTCACAAACACTTCTAAGATTTCTTTAACATTGCATAGACAATGGTGCTTCGAACTTTTGCATTAACTTCATTGTTCTGTGTTAGTCAATAAATTTCTGAGGCAAAATACGCATATTGTGTAAACAATGAAAAGATGTCAAATTGTTGATTAGCTTTGAGGTGGAATTAATCAAGAATTTCAGCATCGAATGCCTTAAAATGATGTTAAAATAGAAAAAAGATTTGTGGTCATCATTGAAATTGTCTTCTTTTTTTTTCTTTTCAAGTGGAGCTTTGAGATTTGTGAAAACATCTTTTTCTCCTTCCTTGTAGTTCTTCATCATCATCATCATCATCATCATCATCTATTTAACACGTCTTGGCTTTCTTTTTTCTTCCATTCTCATTCTTCATAATCATAATAGTCATCTTCTTTCCTGCTCGTTATTCTCCATCATCATCATCATCATCATCATCACCTAAGACTTTTGGTTTCTGTCATCATCATCAACATCACATCTTATTTCTTTCCTCATGATCATCCCCATCATAATCACAACAATTCTTGTTTTTTCCCATCATCATCATCAACAACAACACTTAATACTTATTTATTTCATCATCATCATCACACCACTTCCTATTTCTATCATCATCATCACAACTCTAGTTGATTCTTTCATCATCGTCATCGTTATCATCACTTAACACGTCTTATTTCTTTCATCATCATCATCATCATCATCACTTAACTCTTCTTATTTCTTTCATCATCATCATCATCATCACTTAACTCTTCTTATTTCTTTCATCATCATCATCATCATCATCATCACTTAACTCTTATTTCTTTCATCATCATCATCATCATCACTTAACTCTTCTTATTTCTTTCATCATCATCATCATCATCATCCTTAACTCTTCTTATTTCTTTCATCATCATCATCATCCTTAACTCTTCTTATTTCTTTCATCATCATCATCATCATCATCCTTAACTCTTCTTATTTCTTTCATCATCATCATCATCATCCTTAACTCTTCTTATTTCTTTCATCACATCATCATCATCATTTCTTAATCATCTTCTTATTTCTTATTTCTTTCATCATCATCATCATCATCACTTAACTCTTCTTATTTATTTCATCATCATCATCATCATCATCACTTAACTCTTCTTATTTCTTTCATCATCATCATCATCATCATCACTTAACTCTTCTTATTTCTTTCATCATCATCATCATCATCATCACTTAACTCTTCTTATTTCTTTCATCATCATCATCATCATCACTTGACTCTTCTTATTTCTTTCATCATCATCATCATCATCATCACTTAACTCTTCTTACTTTTTGTTTGTTGCATAAGCAGCATCATCATCACTTAATCATTCATTTCATCATCATCACCTTGTTTCTTTCACCATCATCCTCATCATCATCATTACAACTCTACTTCCTTTCTCATCATCATCATCATCATCATCATTGAAACACTTCTTATTTCTTTCATCATCATCATCATCATCATCATTGCATTCTTTTGTTTCATTCTCATTCTTCGTAGTCACAATATTCATATTTTTCCTACCTCAATATCTTCTGTCCTGCTCGTTATTCGTCATCGTCGTCATCACTTAACACTTCTTCTGTTATCATCAGCATCATCAACATCACACCTTACTGCTTTCATCATCATCATCATCATCATAATCACAACACTTTTTGCTTCTTTTCGTCGTCATCATCATTGAAACACTTCTTGTTTCTCTCATCATCATCATCATCATCATCATCGTACTCATCTACTTCTTTCTTGTTTATAATTCTCCTTCCCTATCAAGATATCCTCCTCCATCACCACATTCTTCTCTTTCCTCTTCTCCTTCTTCCTTTTACTCTTCTTTTTTCTTTCTTCTCGTCTCCTTCCTCTTCTCTTTACTCTTCTTCTTCATCTCCTCCCCCTCCTCCTTTTTCTTCCTCTTCTTCTTCATCTCCTCCCCCTCCTCCTTTTTCTTCCTCTTCTTCTTCATCTCCTCCCCCTCCTCCTTTTTCTTCCTCTTCTTCTTCATCTCCTCCCCCCTTTTTTTCTTCCTTTTTTCTTCCTCTTCTTCTTCATCTCCTCCCCTCCTCCTTTTTCTTCCTCTTCTTCTTCATCTCCTCCCCTCCTCCTTTTTTCTTCCTCTTCTTCTTCATCTCCTCCCCCCCTCCTTTTTTTTCTTTCTTCTTCATCTCCTCCCCCCTCCTCCTTTTCTTCCTCTTCTTCTTCATCTCCTCCCCCTCCTCCTTTTTTCTTCCCTTCTTCTTCATCTCCTCCCCCTCCTTTTTTCTTCCTCTTCTTCTTCATCTCCTCCCCCTCCTCCTTTTTCTTCCTCTTCTTCTTCATCTCCTCCCCCTCCTCCTTTTTCTTCCTCTTCTTCTTCTATATAGGCGAAACTAAAGCCATTCATTCTCATTTACAAAAAGCAATGTACTCATAAATATCGGAAATATTCTATTAACGTCAGTTAAATTGACACAAATATATTGAAACATGCAGCTAAAGTGTCCATATATAACGAATTAGGATAAAGAATTGACAATATTTGTGTGTCCACATATTCAGATATATTTTGTTGCTCTTCTTCTTCTTCTTCTTATTATTATTATTATTATTATTATTATTATTAGCTATTGATTCAATATAATCACTTTACTTCATGTCAATTGAAAACATTAGACCAAGACGGTGCAAAGTGTTGCTCTTGTGGAGGTTAGCATCAGCCATGCAAATGGCAGGCAGAAACGCTTCTCTGTGTTGATTAAATGAAAGCAGATTTGTTCTGGAGGCGCTAAAATTTATAATCTATTCCTTGCCCGAATTAAGCACTGATTGCAGGTCCTTTTCGAGAGGAGCTGCTAGTTCTACTTTGTCGAATCAGTAAGACTTGTACCCTCTGCATAGACACCTATTTGGGAACTGATGACATTGGGAAGGTCATTGATGAAGATCAGAAACAGCGTAGGGTTTACAATCACAACGATTCCTGCATGATCACCGAAATCAAGCCTGGTAATTAGCAAGATGCGTGATCGCTTGGGAATAGCTGGTGCTGTAAGCTATGAGTTAATTAGTTAATTAAGTTAGCTTACTGAAATTCCACTCGGATATCGCCACGATTCGAATACTGAACAAAGTCCCCACAGATCAAGAGAAAGCTGGAAGTAGCAGAAATGTTGTGATACAGAAGGATACTGAGAATTTCATGGAGCGTGTAAGCAGCAAAGGAATGGTAACAAAAAGTCACCGAAGTTAAGCAACGTCGATCCTGGTCAGTGTGTAGATGGGTGACCGCTTGTGTATACTAGATGATGTAAGTCTGGATGTGGGGTTGGTGTAATGAAATAACAGTTTGGAGTTGTCCATCGGAGAGACGAGTTCCAATTCACGTTGGGTTCATTATATTCACTTACTTGTAAATACCCTTAAGAAAGGCACGAAACCACTTCTTCTCTCCCAGCTATGGGTTAATTAGTAAAACTTTTATTACTGTTATGTACGGTACTTATGAACACTAATAATTATATCCCAATCTTTATAAATACATTGGACACTATTGTAAGTCGGGGTAAGATGCTGTCTAAGTAACAGTGGTTTACGTACTTCACGCCGCTGGCGAGTATTGTATTTTGTTGATGTTATAAAGATTACCATTTCATTTCCAACCTCCGATTTGGTTATTCCTCATTCAGTAACCATATTTAGGTTACAACAATTACTAAACTATTATTACCTCAAAAATATATTCTTACAATCTAAAAATATTTTCTGGCTTTAAATAACCTGAAAAGGGTTGATAAGCCGTAAAAAAATAAATGAATCAATGAAAGGAATAGCGTAGGTCCAAGGTTGTATTAATATGAAATGAACTTGAAGCGTCTCCAGATAACGTGAACTTCATTACATAGCTTAGAAATATCTGGTGACTTTGGGGACATTTTTTGACAAATATAAACCGAGTTTAAAATAAGACATAATGAATAATTACTTGTAATATTTACATTATTCAGACTGTTATCCTTATCTTCATTGCCATATTCACAACGTTTCGGCCATTGTACGCCCGGCCTTCTTCAGGTGATTAGAGTTTCGATCGAACCCTTTATTTCGTCCACCGGGGTATATTGTTCTAGTTCCACATGCCATGCCCCTTTTGGATGTCCCGCTTATTTTGCCGTTAACTCAACTCTCCAAGTTTTGGTTCACCACTGCTGTAGCCTGGTATTGAACTCACAACTCTTTGGGTCTAGTCAATGGATCTAACCAACGACTTTATCCACTGGACCATGTGTCATCAAGGACAATGAAGATGAGGATAACAGTTCAAATAATGTAAAAAATGCAATTAATCATGATGCCTCATCTCAGAGATATAGACAGAGAATGAATAATATTTGTTTTTTTTTTCTGAAATATCAGTATATAAACTATTGATATCTTAGAAGACATGTCTGTTTTTTTATTTTAATCTCTAAACTTCATTAAGCCACGAAGTCGGTGTTTGGGGAGATTATAAAAGCGGGCATCGAATATTGCTTTCACATCTGATCTGGTGTTTCTGCTATGTATCTAGAGATTCTTGAGGAAATTCAAAGAAGAATATGCATTGTTATTGGCCTTGACCTGGCATCTCAGTTGAGTACTTCAAATCTCAGATTCCATGGAACTTCAATTCAATTCAAATCCAAAATTCTGTAGAATTTCATCTATCACTTTAACTCTGATTACTTAGAATTTTGGAGAAATAAAAATGATTTCCTCAATTCACAAAATTTTGAAGATATTTTAAACTGAATTTAAAACAAAATGTTTTAATTCACGGAGTTTTTCTGTTACTTTAAACTAAAACTTAAAACTTAAAATCAGTAATGTTTTTCAGTTATTTTAAAATTTGAATTTTTAACTGTTCTCCCCTCATCTAATCCCAATGCTGGATGTTCAAACATCGGATGAAGGGCAGATTTTTAATCCCGGGATCATCCTGATTCCAAAAATGTATAATATATCTATGTTGAGCAAGGGAGGCCCGAGTTAGAGTGGGTTTCAGACACACGGACAGACAAACAGAATTTGCTATTTCTACAAATTATTTGTAGCTATTATCTTCGGATTTACTTTTATTAATATGTTTGATTACATGCGTATCATTTCCATTTCAGATATTACGTCGTTTACGAGCGACACACGCCATCTTTTACGTCGGATTTTCTCTCTCGACCGTTTCATTAGTGATCTCAATCATCATCTTCCGATATTTCAGGTGAGTTTGGATGTTCTACCATTTCTGGCGTTTGTTTTTCGTTCTTCCATCGAAATGCTTTAATCTTTCTCTTTCTTTTATATAAAAAGAAGTACACTCCCAAAAACAAAATCCCGCGAGATGCAAAACGAGATGTCCAAAAGAAGCGTCTTCCCGATAGCCTGAAAGTGTTTAACACCCATCCTCACTTCTGCGTGGGAGTGGACGATGATAGAACCACTTGTAGCTATCCCAATCTCTGATTGCACAGAGGAAGTAATTACTGATCCTTTTTCAAGTTTTAGAGAGCAACTTGCAATTTTCTCTGTAACTCATTTCTCAATATCGACACTTTCCAAAAACGTTCACTACAAAAAAAAAAAAAATTAAGTTGATAGAACACTAGAAAAAAATTCTCACTATCCAAAATTTGGGTTTACTTCGGAAATATATGTTTGATGTCCACTGGTGCTGAGTACTTTAAAAGTATCCAAAGACATTTCAAAATTAAAGTTAGCTTTACTTGAATTTTAACTAATCCCTCACTAGCAGGAATCTAGTTTTAAATGAGTTATAATTTAGATTTTTTTTTTATAATAGCGTGGAAATGAAAATTGTGGGAAAAGATTAATAATTGATTATTAATGTTACCGCGAAATAATGATACATTTATGTTGTATTGAAAATATTTCTATCTTAAAACATATAATTATTTCATGGGAATCATGATATTATTCTGCAATTAGTAATTCTTTGATTTCTCCTTTAATTTTGTTGTCCCAACCGCTCATTAAAAAGCATAAAAATATAAGATAGCGCTTAACCGCGGCAAGGTTTGTTTTTATGATTTAAAATAAAGTTTCTTTGGGTATAAAATTAGTTTCATTTTTGGAAAAAAAAAATGTCGTCAAAATTATGCCCTTAATCGAAAATTTTTTAATTGCAAAATGTGTTCCGTACAATGGTCATTCAAAATGTCGTAAGCCTCGCCCGAAAGGATTTGGAGAAAGAAACAAGACGGTTTTCACTATTTTTCCAATATAACCGCCCCTTTGACGTCACTGCACTTGATCCTAGGATATTTAAACACTGCAATCCCATCACAATAGAAAGTGGCTTCCTGGTCCTTCAAAAATTCCTCCACAGCACATGTGATATCATCTCTGTTTACCAAATAGCGACTACGCTAGTGGGATTTGAGTTTTGGAACCGGAAAGAAGTCAGATGGAGCTAAGTCTGATGAGTAAGGGTGGGGGTATCAATACAAATACAAAAAAAAAAAATTACCAGCAATACATTTTTAGAAAAAAACATATTACCAGCAATAAAAATCTTGTCGGCATTAAATAAGCTATTGTGGTTGATATGCCGTAAAACAAACTAAACCAAAAATATTAGCAACAATAAAAATCTTGTCGTCATTAAATAACCCATTGTGGTTCATATGCCATAAACAAACCAAACCAAACCAATATATGCTGACATAGATAGATAGATAGATAGATAGATAGATAGATAGATAGATAAAAAAAAATATTACCAGCAATAAAAATCTTGTCGGTATTAAATAACCCATTGAGGTTGAAAGGCCGTAAAAAAAATATTACCAGCTATATATTTCTAAAAAAAAAAAAAAAAAAATTACCATCTATACATTTTTGAAGAAAAAATATTACCAGCAATACATTTTTGAAAAACAATATATTATCAGCAACAAAAATCTTGTCGGCATTAAATAACCCATTGAGGTTGATATGCCGAAAAAGAAACCAAACCAAACCATAAAATAAATAAAAATACATATAAATAATTAAATAGCAGTTACGTCCCTTAGAAATTTTAGAATCTCCACGACAAGAGAGTTCGTCGGGGCTTCCACAAAACAAGGTGATTAGGTCATAAGTATTTGTTTTACAGATTTTTCCTACGGAAGCGGAAAATTTTCCGCGGTAATATTTTTATGAAGAGTTTCAAAAATAATTTTCAAAATTTTCATTTAATTTTTCTTCGCGTGATGAGAACTAAATTATTAAATAAAGGAAAATATATGATTTGAAAAATAAAACTATTCATTAATAACAGTTGCTCAGTGTATTTTAAGAGATCCTTTCCACTTGGACATTCGCAAATGGTCAACTCGACTGTTAAAATGTCTTTTGATTGATCCACTGTTAAGATGTTAGTAATTTTATGTTCTGCAGCCATACTTTGAAATGGAAAAAAACATTATCTCCGCTGACGCCTATCGAAATGCGGCGGGAAGCCGTAAATGGCTGTCAGCGTATGTGCATGTTTTAAGTGCTTCACCATGTCGAGCTTTTATTTTTATAGTTCTGATGCCAACTCAGCCGGTGCAGATTTTGAAAGTGGCTCTCGAAATACCCTTTAAGTAGATGAAAACTTGCATATGTGTTTCAGTACATCTGTAAGCATGTGTTTGTCCATGTGTATTCAAGTGTTTATATGTATGAGTAAATATATGTGTGTGTGTGTGTGTGTGTGTGTGTGTGTAGTTAGGCAGCAATCCTTCTTTCATGCACATTTCATTGAAAACGACAGACAAGGTGCTTTTTCTTTTCGCATAATAAATTATATAAAAACTATGCGAATGTTCTTTTTATCCGAGCGCTTTCGGCTATACATTTAGCCATTTTCAGGGATTATATTTTAACTGTTAAAATAAGAAATAGTTTGTTGTATGTATGTTTTATAAAATGTTTTCATTTTTCTTTTTCTTTTTTGTTTCAAAACACGGTCAAGATATTATGTCCATGTTCAAAGTTAATATTATTAAGTGTTGGTTTGTTTGTTTTTATTAATAAGGCTTCCATTATTTTTAGTCTTTTTTTTCTTTTAGTCTGAGTATAAAAATTTTTATATAATTTATCATATTAAATTATTAGATCGCATGAGAAATTGTATAAAAGAAACTCAATAAAGCACCTTGTCTGTCGTTTTCAATGAAATGTGCATATATATATATATATATATATATGTATATAATGTATGTTTATATATATATATATATATAATATATATATATATATATATAGAGAGAGAGAGAGAGAGAGAATGTATAAATATGTGTGTGCGTATAGTGTGTGTGTGTAATTATAACTTCAGTATGTTTGTGAGTGTTTATGAATGTATCTTGAATATGGGTGAGTATGTGATACAATGTGCTCGAGTATGTGTACGGTTATGTTAAATCATGTGTGAGAGAAGATTGTGTGTGCGTATGCATGCATGTGCGTGTGTGTGGAGCGCATTTGTCTATCTGTGTGTGTGATTCTGGGTTTGTGTGATTCTGGGTTTGAGTTTTATGTATGAGTATGTGTGAATGTGTATGCGTAGATTGTGTATGGATATGGTTTAGTGTATATGTAATAGAATTCACGTACGTGTGTGCATGTGTATATATGTAAAAGAATGAGAAAGGAATGATGTATGTGTTTGTCTATGTTTACTTGTGTCCAAGTCTGAGTATAAGTGTATGTATGGTTATATGTAATAGTCTACCTCGAGTGGCACCCGGGCCTTATATAGGAAAAATGTCACTGTAAAAAAATTACTGTGTGAACGATTATTTGATCTGTTCTTTGACAGCTTATCAACTTTTCGCAGGTTATTTTAAAAACAGAAATTACTTTTAGAGTGTTTGGGGATAATAATTAGATTAATGATAAATTCCTGCTAATTAACCCATAGATGGGAGGAGAAAATGTAGATTTACACCTTTCCCAAGAGTATTTGCATGTAAGTGAGCATAATGAACCCGATTGGAATTGAAACTTTGCTCTCCGAATTCCATTCCCGACCCTTCATCACTTACAGCGACTGCACATCCAAGATCATAGCACCTGGTATTCCCAAGCGGTCACCCATCTAGGTACAAACCATGCTCGACATTGCTTAACTTCGCTGATCGTACGAGAGTCGTTGTTTCAACGTCACGTGGCTTTAAGCCTTGTGCATGGATGTGTGTAGCGTGTGTATGTTTAACTGTGTGGGAGTGCCTGTAAGTGCTTATGTGTGTATATGATGGGTTTAAAAGAATGTGTGTGAGAGATAAAGAAAGCGTGTGTGTGTGTGTGTGTGTGTGTGTGTGTGCTTGCGTATGTGTGAAAGAATGAGAACAAGAAGGAATATCTACGTTTTTGTTTATGTGTACCCGTATCCAAATCTGTAGGCGAATGTATGTATAACTCCCCTCTCTCTCTGTATGTGTGTATGTGTGTGTATGTGTGTGTGTGGAGTGTTTTTATAACTGTAGCGTTGGGAATGCTTGTGACTGTATATGAAGGTGTGTGTGTGTGCATATGTGTGTGTGTGAGTTGGATGTTGCGTTTGATATGTGCGTGTGTATGATTCATTTCAATATGTGTGTGCGTGTATGTGTGTGTGTATCTGTGAAAGAATGTGAATGTATGTGTGTGTGTGTATTGCCTCTTATGTTTCTGAAATGTTCCCTAATTCGTGCCAATTTTCCTAGGGTATCGCGTGTCGACAAAAAAGACATTTTTTTTTCAGTTCAATGATTTGCCTTAAAATCAATCGAGACCAAATCCAACCTAATTAAAGAAAAGATCACATTCCTGTATGTAAACGTTTTCTTTCTAAATAAAAAAAACTGTTACCAGATGAGGCGTATGAAACCTGTGTAAATTAAACTATATCTTTTATTAGGAGCAAATTCTTTCAGATAATTAATTAATATTTATGTCTAAACAACAAATATTTGCCCACATAAATTATCACATTGCGTAATTACGGAGATAATTTATAGTTTAATTCATTTAAAAGTAATACAAATTGTGAAATCAGGTAACTGAAATCTATATCATTACACCAAATTTTCCCAATGACGATGAAAATAAACATCGAAATATTTATTCTTTTTTATGTGCCGCATCCCTTCATAACTTGGTTGATCTTGACTCTTGTACACTTTCTGTACTTTTTACATTGCCATGAGTTTTCTTGGTACTGATAGTGGGGTGCTTTCCTGTTGCCTTCTCCACTGTGATTTTATTGAGACACCAATTCTAGTTAGCGGGCCGTTGATTTATGAAGAGTTCTTCTGGCCTTTGCTAAATAACAAACAAAAAACATATATTGACATTAAGAAGATCTTTCAAACGAGGCAATAGTAAACACCAACGCACATACACACACACACACACTAAATAAATCGTTCACTCATCAGTAATTTACAATCATTATGCGTTGAAACACGGCTGCAATTGTGTAGCGATTTTGACATGTTTTCGATGTAATATCTTAAAATAAATAATATTGCTCTACTTTGTATTGAGCTCTCTTTCAAATTAAATGTTTCAAACGTTGGAATTGTACTTTATTCGTTTTCATCTTACCTGGGTACTAAATCAGTTGGGTTTCGATCCCGGCTTGAGGCAATCGGATATCTAGCACTGATGAGCTGTGAAACAGCGAAACAGTCCGTCTGTGGATGACAATATATATATATATATATATATATATATATATATATAGTTTATGCAAATTTAGGTAATCCGTATGGGTAGACCTGAGGAGGATGATATCCAGAGAGCTCAATGTAAAATTCAGAGCAGATATGTTTGAATAAAAGACAGACCACGTTAAGATTCCATGTAATAAGCTATTTCACCATAACCCCTTTAACAGGGTTCTGGATCATCAGACTTTACTTCCAAAAGCTGAAATGAAAAATGAAAAGAAATTCACAACGTTTTTTTTCAAAAAAAAAAAAAAAATATATATATATATATATATATATATATTTCAAATATATATATATATATATAGCAGGAATTGTGTGTTTGATTTTAGTGGTGACCGTTTATCTATTTTATCAAAGGTCCCACTCATCATATCACCTCAAGGTTCTAAAGTCCTTGTATATCAGATCCTGTGGGCCTTCCCTTTGTAAACAGAGGGAATGCTTACTGGGTCTGAATGTTATTGGACTCTAGCTTTCTTGAAATTCATTTTTTTCCCCTTCCATTCGTTATATTAATTTAATTTACACGCTTATATATTTTTTATATCCCAGAAAATAAACTTGATAAGGCTGGGACGAAACCGGTTGTTTTTTTTTACCTTTTTTAAAATGCCATATAAATTTTGCTTATTCCTAGCTATCGTTTGTACCATAAAAAACTTATATATATATATATATATGTGTGTGTGTGTGTGTGTGTGTGTGTGTGTGTGTGTGTGTTTCCAAAAGTATCAGCATGGCAAACATTGATAGTTGCCAAATATTCCATTTAGAACAAAATCGAAATTTTGTGTCAATCCGACATGCTGTTGGCCACTTGCCAAAAAATCAATATCCATCCAATATATTTTATTATTGATGTTAAAATGAGTTGTAAAAAATCTGTTGCTCGCAGTAAATGAAAACAAAATATTAATAAATCCTAAAGGGAATTGCCGAAAAATACCTTACATCAAAGCAAAACAAAACTTATATGGCGTCGATTTTCCAAGCGTAGCTTAGATGTGACACAAGGCCGAAAATGTGGAGCACCCAGTAGAGGATCGAACCCTCTACTCAGTCGTAATTGATCTAGCAAGACATGCTTGCTCACCATCACACCACGTCGAACTCAACAAATTATTTTCTGAGCAGAGCTTAGATGTGACACAAGGCCGAAAATGTGGAGCGCCCAGGAGAGGATTGAACTCACTACTGAGTCGTTATTGATCTAGCAAAAAAAGCTTGCTAACCATCACACCACCTCGAAGTAAACAAATTATTTTCTGACCGGAGCTTAGATGTGACACAAGGCCGAAAATGTAAGCACCCAGTAGAGGATCGAACTCACTACTCAGTCATAATTAATCTAGTGTGAAATGTTTGCTAAGCCTTACACCAAGCGAGGGTGACCCAAAACAAAACATGTGGCTTAAAATAACCCGAAATATGCAGAATAAACATTATCATTTGATGCCCACGTAGGAAAACTAGAATCGACGATGATGACCAAGCTATGTGACAGTTACTACTGGGTCACATACTACCAGCAGCAAAAATAAAATGGCAATACTGGATAATAAAGTCACTATTTAGTCAAACATTTTGTGAACAAACGTTGTTAACTCCTGCCCACTTCACACGTCTGCCACAGCTACAGACATGAGATATTGAGAAAAAGAAATTGTGTACTTGATACATATATATGTATGTATGTATGTGTGTGTGTGTGTGTGTGTGTGTGTGTGTGTGTGATAAGATAAAGAACAAATAAGAAATGTTTATTAATCTAACATGTTTCACTTTTATTAAAGCTTCATCAGAAAATGAGATATAGAAAAAAAGAAGAAATTGTTTGGTTGATATATATATGTGTGTGTGTGTGTGTGTGTGTGTGTGTGTGTGTGTGATAAGCTAAAGAACAAATAGGAAATGTATATCAATCTAACATGTTTCACTTTTATTAAAGCTTCATCAGAGAATGAAATATGGAAAAAGAGAATGGAGAGATTCTGGTATTTTTACTTTTGTGTTGTCTGATTTTCATTGGCCAATCATATGTCACGTGCATTCGACTATTTTAAACCAACATCATTATAATTTTAGTATAATACTTACGTAAGAATATTCCCAAATCAACATGAGAAAAAACTACCAAACATAATGTCGACGCGACACACACACACGCGCGCGCGCGCGCGCGAATAAACATTATCATTTGATGCCCACGTAGGAAAACTAAATTTTATAAACTTACATCTTACTTATTATAAAACGCAGATTGTGTCTGTGTGCGTGTGTGTGTGTGTGTGTGTGTGTGTGTGTGTGTGTGTGTGTGTGTGTGTGTGTGTGTGTGTGTAACGTTTATATATTGGATGGGATTTCCTACATTTTTCAACCGATTTCAACAAAACTTCACAGGACTACGTAAAATTACCTTGCGGTGGTGCTGACAGTGCCAAAAATTGGAAAATATAATTGTTTTTGCACAAAATCAATTTGAAAACACGATTAAGAGACATCGTGAAAATGGAAGGGGGACAACTCACATCGGTTTGTTTGTGTGTGTGGGTTACTTTAAATATGGGAGCGGATTTCCTATATTTTTCAGCCGATAAAACAAAACTTCACTTTTTTTTTTTTGTTGGCAGGTAGTGTTTCTTATTCTCTTGCACACTTTTTTTCTTTATTTTAACATTCAGAATGCTTTAAAAATTCCATTTACAAGACAATTATTTATAATAAAATTCTATTCAATCAGTAGACTCATAACGATTGAAAACAATGTTTTTGTTTGAGTTTGGGTTTGACCAATTAGTAAAAATTAAAAAAAAAACTAATTAAGACATTCGTGTCCGTCAACCTTAAACAATAATCTAACGATCTCTACTGATTGTACGAATACAAACATCGGATAAATTCTTTATCTTTAGGGAAGGATAATGAAATCTAAACATACACAAGTCCTAACTAAAAATAACCGGAACGGGAAACTACTTTAAATACACATGGTGTCCAATTTTTTTATTGTATTCAATAAGTAAAAATCATAAATTGTAAAAGATTATTATTACAGAAAGGCTACTAAATGAATAAGATTTGTTAGATCATAATTAATAAACCCAAATAAAGTTAATATTTTTTGTATTAGAAACAACAAGTGGAAAATATATTCAAATCAGAATTCTAATTATGAATCACCACAAGCAAAATATGCAATTTGTTTTACTATATTCAATAAGTAAAAATCATAAATTGTAAAACTAAAAGATTACAGAAAGGCTACCTACATTTTTCAACCGATTTCAACAAAACTTCACTTTTTTTGGCATTTAGTGTTTCTTATTGTCTTGCACACTTTTTTCTTTATTTTTACATTCAGAATGCTTTATAAATTCCATTTACAAGACAATTGTTTATAATAAAATTCTATTCAATCGGTAGACTCATAACGATTGAAAACAATGT